AATGGTCCTATGGGAGGATAGAACAAATGAAAAGGGTGAAATGGGGCACACTACATACTCTATAGTATTTGGTTATGAAGAAGTGATTCCCCCTAAAGTAATCATCCCTACAGAACTCCAGAAAGTAACAACCAAAGTTTGATTGAAGATATTAACATAGTAGATGAGATCCAGGATATTGCCAAGATTGCGAAAGCATCCTACCAACAAAGAATAGCTAGATCTTACAATAGAAACTTTGTCATTAGAAGATTCCAAGTAGGGGATATGGTATTAAGAAAGGTTTTTCAAAACACCAAAGATGCTATTGTTGGAAAATTAGCCCCTAAATGGGAAGGACCGCATCTCATAGAATCCGAAGCTGGAAAAGGGGAATACTAGCTTGTCACCATAGAAGGAAATATTATGTCAAGATCCTGGAACGTAATCCACCTCAAGTTCTGCTTTAGGTAAATCATCAACCTTAATCCGTTAAATCCTAAGAAAAAAGTACATATCCCTTCACTCATAATTCATTTATACATTTTTTATTGTAAAAAACATGGTATTAACTTAAGAATTTGAGGGGGTGTCGGTTAAGTCAATGGTCACCTCTCATAGAATACCTATTTTGTTGACAACGGAATCAAGATTTTGCCCAAGATCATGCCTAGAATCTATTGCAGATTCCCTATGTAGAGACTGATCACCTCTCCTATGCTTAAGGTATCAAAATCCATTCTAGGGTTTAAAGGTATTCATCTTTCATCCAGATTGGGTTTATACACCCCGCTTGAACGCATGTTATCTAAGAATGGATATACAATGAGCAGACCAATATGTTGAAACACGTATTGATGATCTACTTGTGACTAGCCATATCCTAGATCTAAGAATGATTTTAATGGCATAATATTTTCATGTTATACACCCGTTTGGGCATGACACCCATAAATTTTGGGAAAATCCCCAGAGAATGTTGGGAACATCCCTCGTAAATTTTGGGAGTATCTCCAGAAAAGCTCGAGTAAATTCTTAAGAATGTTTTACAAGAACCTTAAATATCCTTGGAAAGTTATGGCCTTGTGGGAGTTCCAACAACTATTCACAAAATGCTATGCTAATCCTTAAAGGATTTCCAATGAAACTTGAGAAAGCTTCAAGATGTGATTGAAGATCCAAGCAAGGATACCAAAAGAGCACAAGGAGAAAAACACATGAAAATCATGAAAAGGATCAATGGCTAACATTTTTTCCAGGATTCGACCAAAATTCCAAGGTTCTATCTTTTCAATGTCTATTATTATTCAATCTCATATGATTATTCTTTGACACTCACACTTTACTATATTACTTGCTTTTTAGTTTTTACAGAAAAGTAAACTCATTTTGAACTCTTATCTAAATTCCTTATCAAATCTTATAATGATGGTTTTAAAAATATCTCAATAAATAAAAAAACTCTTAAACCTTGATTATAACATTGCACTGTGCAATCATAATACTATCAAATAATCTTTAACAATATTTTTCTAAAAATTCCTTATTCTTTCCTACTATTGGAATCTTATATTAGTTTAAGGAGTTAGAGATTTCTATTAGACATAATATATTTCTAAAACATCACCCCAAATTATCTTATAACTAAAAGAAGATTTCTTTCAATTTACTATTTCCAATTCCCAAAATTTCTCTTTTTGATAAATTGATGTAGAATAAAATTAAAAGTACTCTATCCTAAAATTCCCAATAGATCTTTTGTGATTTCCTTTTATATAAAATCTTTGTTAAATTCTTTTTAAGTTTCTTAAAACCTTTTTACCATTAAGATTTTGAAAATCTTTAGTCAATTTTTATCAAAATTCTTAATAATAGTTTATCATTAATTTTTTCAAAATCTTTGGTAACTTTCCATTTACATTTTTAAAATGCTTTTGAGAATATTAGCAATATTATAGAACATTTCTACATAAAGAAAACATATAAGAACAACATAATTTGGATGTAAGCACCATCAGTCATAACATAAATTATTTAAAGCCCAAACCAGGCACCATATGATTAAACAAAAATAAATTTGTCAAAATCCTCTAGGGGCATCATACAAAGCATAAATAGATAAGAAAGAATCACCATTCTTCTTCTTTTCTTCATATTCTCCTCAATGTTGTTCACACAACCTGAATTGAATATTTATAAAAAGATCATGGCACATATATGCAACAATGTACTCTTTAAGATTTGTAGGATTAAAGAACTTTATCTGGTTTTATCTATAGTTCGTTTTATTTTTAAAGTTGAATTGATAAGTATTAACCATATTTAACATTTATGTTCATATCATTGGGATTTTTAATGGGCTAATGTCATAAAAACCCTCAAGTTTTCAAGAAATTTTCGGTTATATCCTAAGTCCAATTTTATGTCCACAAAAACCGCACATTTGGTAAAAAATTGTCATAATTTCCCTATTTTCCGATTTTAACCTTCTATGGCATTAGGGGTGTTTGCTTCAGTGATTTGTTGTTCATCACCATAGAAGCTCAAAGATATGACATTCATACTCAACGAAATCCATATATTGAATCAATAAAATTCCATTTAACATTATCTGTTTGGTCTCAAGGAATCAATTCCCATGAACAAGATCATCCATTCGTAACCCAAAAACCACCACCACCTGTGATATGCGTCACCATCACCATCAAATTTCAAACATCACTGCTACCATCCCTGAAATCCACCAACGTCACCACATCTACATTGACATCGTCCACCACCACCACCTCCCTTTCTTACCCATATCTAAACTCCGTGCCCAAAATGATGTCATGGGTGCTCAAACATAAAAATTAAACCCAACTATGATAAATTGATACCCAAAATTTAAACTCAAAAACCACAAATGAAATCAAAATCGTGGTTAGCAACACAAATGCACAAAATTGAATTAAAACCTAAACCAAAACTTACATTTTTTTTGCTCTAAGGTAAAGGTGATGATGGTGATGAACAATTAAGCGCAACGGTGGGAAGTGGGTAAAGTCGTAGAAGTTTGCATCAGATAAACAATCAGGGGTGACGACAAGTGTTGGGTTTCATGGCAGTGGTTGGGAGAAATGGGGGTGGAATTATGGGGAAGAAATGTTGCATCGTTCGATTCATTAGACTTGAGGTTCGATTCAGAGGGGAGCATCGATCTTCAAGGGGTGCTCGTCGGTTTGCTCAACAATCAAATGAGGTGCTGCAATAGTGGTGAGCAGGAGATGGCAGCCGGTGGGTTTTTGGCTCGTTTTCTCGCGGCAGGAAACTCACCGGTGGAGTTGATTGTGGTCTCCAGCAGCGATAGAAATCGAGCAAGAGGGCATGGTGTTTGGGTGACAATTACTGAACAACAAACCATTGAACCAAACACCCTTAATGCCATAGAAGGGTAAAATCAAAAAATAGGGCAATTATGATAAATTTTGTCCAAATGTGCGGTTTTTGTGGACATAAAATGGACTTAGGATATAACCAAACATTTCTTAAAAAGTTGAGGGTTTTTATGACATTAGCCCATTTTTAATCCACCCTCGAATCCTCATAAGAATCTTATAATCTTAATAATTTTCCCATATTTTGAGAATTAAAATATGAATTTTTTTAATCTAAACTCATATTTTAGGAGACAATTGTTATGGTTGAAAATTTATGACTAGCATCTTCTGTAGGATTTGAAGTAAGCATGCTGCTTAAGATCTGAGTTAAGATCTTGAAGGGTACTAAATTAATTCATTATTTTATTATTTATTCTCTTATATGATTTAGGTGTTGAAACATCAATAAAGACCCGTTCAAATCGGTATTTCCTTAGGAAACACACATAAGAAGAGTTGGTAATCCTGGATTTGTAGCATAACGGTCAAGATAAGATCCCAATATTTATAGCATGACGGTCAAGATAGATAATGTCAAGATTTCAGGGATTTAGTTAATAGATATTGGAAATGCTATGTATAAATTAGTAGATGATCTCACACTTGTATACACACGAACAATCTCGATTTTACTTGTATTCTGCAACTAGAACATACAAAACTTTTACTCATTCATTTTATTCAACAAAATCTTCAAAGACAACCTATATATTCCATCTCCCGAGGTTTTGTGATGGCGATCTTATTCAAGTTCAAGGGCTTTCCTCATAATTCTTGTGTCTTGCACCACGAAATCTTGGTTAAGATTTTGATTACAGTACTACAACCTTTACTAATTTTGTTGACAATTACTTTGCATATTTTTACCAAAACACTAAACGATTAAGGGCTTTCCTCGTTTATTTTCGTGTCCTTTCACTCATTTTTACTTCTACACTTATATACGTTTTCCTGAACATATACTCACTTGCAGATATCTTGATTGTTTGTTAATAATCTTCAGATACTTTTCAGTATCTTGACTTTTTGGACATTTTAAAAACTTTTTTAACACTATTCATCATTTGACAATTTTAACACTATTTTTTTCATAATTTCGGAGCATATACATATTTATATGTGGACAGGAATAATGTTTCAAATGGTAGTGTTAGTAAATCAGGCGGAACTTGTCAATAATCAAAACACATATGATGCCATTTTCCAAGCTCTTATTAGGTGAGGTCTTGACATCTTTAAGGGAGCTCAAAACGTGAGGTTATTAAAGGATTCATCAAGGCTAAGGTGAGTTAGTAGTTTTACTCACTAAATGTGCATAAGTCGCAAAGTACATTTCATACATAGATCATTGATTCACTTTATGTCTAAAGTAGCCATTGTTTTGTGTTTAAATATGATGTGTTAATGTAACACCAAAAATCAGAAAGTCCAAGAAAGGAAAGAAAACCCTAAGTCAAAGTGGTCAACTCATCGAGTCCAGGGAGGAACTCGACGACTCCGAGCGGGATCCGGATCGAGGAGTAATTGACCGACTCGGCGAGTCGGAGAATGGACTCGGCGATTCTGGTCTGAACGAGAAAAACCCTAATCCGGGGGTTTGCACCCTATTTAAGGAATATTACACCCTTTCCCCAACCTCTTTAATCCTCTTTGAGATCTAGAAGCCCTAGAATCGTGAGTGAGAGCCATTGGAAGCAAATTGGGGCATTGTTAAGTGTTTTGTGAAGAAATCTTGAAGATCAAAAAGCTTGGACCAGGGGGGGGGTCGTGGAGATTCGGATTCCTTTTCACTAGGAGGACGTTTTAGAGGTAATGAATCGTTATCCTTGGATTTCCCCTTTCTAGATCCATCTTTCATATAGTTTTAGGGTTTCTTTGAGAGTATGTGATGAGAATTTGGTGCACAAGTTAGATTTGGAGTTGAAACTCCAGATCTGAGCTCTATTTGGATCATAGATGCAGAAACCCTGTTAGTTGTTATGAAAAAGCCATCCCCCATGAGTTAAGTTTCTTTCTAGATTGGTTTTTGGCATTAGGGGTCAAGAAGCACGTAAAGGTAGCAGCTTTATGTTGCTAATGGACTATAGAAACCCAGATCATTGGTTTGGAGCAAAGGTGTAGCTCTGTAACTCAAAATTATGGGGAAGCATGTATGGACTCAGCGAGTTTGGGACATGACTCGGCGAGTCGGGCTAGATATCAGACTTAGAGTCGCGTAGAATCTCGGTGAGTCACATGGGTGGACTCGGCGAGTTGGATGAAGTTAGGCAACAACTCGACGAGTTGGAAGAACAACTCCGCAAGTCTGTTGAAGATTACCTTGGACTCGGCGAGTCAAGTCGCGAAACCCTAAACCCTTCGAGTTAAGACTCGGGTCAGTGAGTTGAGTGGGGACTCAGTGAGTTGGGCCGGTCAGGACTCGGAAATCGGTAGACTCGGCGAGTCAGGGGCTGACTCGGCGAGTCGAGTCGTGAATGAAAGGATTCTGAGCTAATAAACTCGGCGAGTCTGTAGGCAGACTCGGCGAGTAGCGTTGACCTGGAAGGTTGACTTTGACCAGAGTTGACATAGTTGACTTTTGGAGATCAGTTAAGCTAAGTGCTATATGTTTTGATATTGGTAGCTCGGGGAGCTAGTGGAGCAACGGTTTAGGGAATTTTCGGTCAGCATCCAGAGGGGTTACCAGCAAGTTCAGCAGTACCAGGTGAGTTTCTTTCCAGTAGGAACGGGTCTAAGGCCACAATGCCGGCCCGTTTAGCTGGCAGTAGTTTCCGAACTTCGGTCTGATGCAGTAGTTAGTATGTTTGATGCCTTCTTGGCTCAGACAGGATTTATGTGTTATGTGTTCCGGGCTACGGCCTGATGCAGTATGCAGTATATGTGTGTTTATGCTAGTAGATATATTTATGTTATGCTATGTTCAGTTAGTTCCAGACTTCAGTCTGATGCAGTTAGTCCAGACTTCGGTCCGATGCAATGGACAAGGTCCCATCCAGTTTCCGGACTTCGGTCCGATGCAGGAAGAAAGGCCCCAGTTAGTCTGGACTTTGGTCCGGTGCAGGGGACAAGGTCGCAGTCAGTTTTCTGGAACTCGGTCCAATGCAGTGGGCAAGGCCCAGTATGTGCTTTATATGTTACTGTATGGTATGTGGTAGTTTGGGGGAGCTCACTAAGCTTCGTGCTTATGGTTTCAGTCTTTGGTTTCAGGTACTCGGTTTTCAAAGGAGGAGCTCAGAGAGATTGCCGTGCACACACCATAGTCAGCTAGCCTGGGAATGTTTACTCTGATAATAAGATTATGTTTTGGATTAATACTCGGAAATTATGTTATGTCTTAAGATGCGGTTTTTATAAATATGGTTTTAGTAATGTTTTAAAAGAAATCTTTAGTCGTGATTTTTGGGACGTTTCAAGTTGGTATGGGACCCTTGGTTTGAGGGATTCGGACCCACTTGAGACTGTGTCTGGACTCAAACTAAGGAAAAGATGAAAAGGTTTTCAAAAGAAAAACATTTTCGAAAGGAATTTTTGGTAAAAAGGAGTTTGAGAAAAGAAAAGAGTTTTAGAAAAGAGAAAAGAATATTTAGAAATAATAAAAAAAAATAATAACTTGAAAAGAGAAAAAGGGTGTGGTGCATGCAATCAGCCGAACTCAAGTAAGTACTCCTAAATTACCCATACAAGTTTATGATTATCAGTTTCAGTTTTAGTTCCAGTTCCAGTTTCAGTTCCAGTTTCAGTAGAACAACATGCTAGTATAGGACTAAGGATCTAGGAGGATGCTTTATGTGCCTGCTTATGTGTTTCAGCCTTATGAAAATTGCATGCTAGTATTGAGTAGACAGCAGTAGGATAGCCTGTTTAGGTTATACCCAATAGTATGAGTTCAACATTGTAGGCTAGTACATTTTCTTGATTATGAGAGTAGTTTGCATGAGTATGTTTCCTATATCCGAATGCTGTTTGCCCTATGCTTAGTGGGACTCTGGGCGATGGGAGTTAGCCATTAGGTGAATGCGTCACATCACATGTGATCAGGGTTGAATAATGTCAGAGTGCTGGATTTGGCCCTGTTGCACAGCTCTCGTCCAAGTCTAACCGTTGTGGGGACGAGTCTTTTACTCGAAGGATTATCTGAGCCTCGTCACATGTGATGGTATCCAGGTGGTGGCTAATTGGTATTACAAGGAGGCCTTAAGCAGCTGATGACTGTTTGGGTGGAGTCAGAGGTTCCCTAGGGTAAGCCTAGGATGAGAGTAGCAAAGATTTGTAGTAGAGAAAAAGGACTTGGTGGAGTTGAGGTAACTCTTAAGGAAAGTACGGATAGATGTGGAAGGTAGTATGGGCCCGTACTACTAAAAGCAGAGGATCCGTACTCGATTCAAGAGGGACCGAGGCAAAACCAGGGAACTAGTAAAGTGTGTGAAAGATCCCTCAGCAGCGGTATGTATATTGATCAGTTTTGTGATGTGTTTCCAGCATGGTGACATTGCACGAGATATTAGTTGGTAGTTCTGGTGATAGGGAGGGATCTGGCTCAGGCTCTAGAGCTGGACAGTTTGATGATCATATGAGTGATGTCATTTCTGTAGAGATTATGCGCAACATCATTGATCAGACTCCCGTGATATTTGGTTCAGTTAGGGAGGCCATTATGAAGCTTTTGGACAGTCGTCTTGAGGCCTTTAGGGCCGGGATAGTTTTAGGGCAGTTTGGGGATCGTCTAGAGCCCGATTCTTATGGAGTTTCGGGATCCATCAGGGAGGTAGATCCCATTTTTAGCTCTTTCCATCAGAGGATGGGAGTGAGCGGGGAACCCTGTCTCCAGGAGAGACCCCTGCATGAGTGGATAGTCAAGGAGGTTGCGCGAGCCATTCGCGAGGAGCTACCCAACATCGTTGGATGAGTTACTAGTAGGTTGACTGCGAAGCTGCAGGATTAGACAGCAGTTGTTCAGACAATGGATAGGTTCGACGAGGTAACGCATGAGCGTGAGTCGGGCAGAGAGTCGGAAAAGA